CAGACACAACGTATGAGCAGTTTTTCAACCTCGCGGTTCTCTCCTCGGCTTACTTCCTTGAATAAGAAGCCCTTCAATTTTTTAGCGTAAGGATTTTAGAAAAAAGTATCGTCTTATAGTCGGAAAAATACGGTAGTTAAATCAGTTTGTTTTTGTTTGTTTATAGGTCACTGGCATCTTACCATGTATTCTTGATGGTGATTGTTTCATTAGATCTAATAATCCATCTCCAGACATTGGACTATTATTTGAACTTGGAATCACTTATAATCACAATGTAAGTCCATAGAGATGACTCAGTATATGAAACTGTATTAGCAGACTCTGTTGATACTTTCTGTGCAAAGTGCTTGGCATGATAATCCGTAGGAATGAAACATAAGTAGATTTCAGTTTAAAAAAAAAAACACATCCTTTGTTGCTGACCCGCTTTAATATGTTTCTTTGTCTTTTTCTGATGGAATGGTCAGGCAGCTTGGTTGTTAGGTGCACCTTCTTGAGATTAAGCATCTTAACCATTAGTGTTTTTAAACAGTATAGGTAAGAATTATACAAATAAGAGTGAAAAAGGCCTAGTTATGTAAACAAAAATGGATGATAATGATAAACACCATCAAGATACCCTTACCTCCTTTTTTCTTGTTGGTCATGAAATATCAAATACTGTTTATAGTGTTTTATGATAACTCCCTGTACCTGATGCTTTATTATTTTTAGAATGACTAATCACTAGGGATTGAGGTTACAAATAGGTTTGTGTTAAGTATCAGCAATGATTTACAAGCTGTACTGATTTGTTTCACAAAATTCACTACACTAATACCAAACAAACCGCACTGTGGCATAGTGTAATGAACAAATAGTCTTTCTGAAAATGTAAGCTTGACTACCTTCTTAATAGTAATAGCCAGGAGAGTCTCCTGAGTAGTTTTTCCCTTTAGCCAAGATCTATTTGCATGGTTAACATTATTGAATAACAAGCTGACACTGGTATATAGAGTGGAAGAAAGGAAAGTCTATAATTAATTTCTACAAATGTTGTCATTGCTGCTGTAGCTACACACAGTGTGGCTGTAAGACAGGGGTCAACAACTTTTTCCAGCTGGAGCTACACTTAAAAAAAAAAAAACACCTTATCTTTTAAAGCCAAAGAGAACATGTTCAGAAACATAGCAGAATGACAAATGAAAAAGACAGTGAATATGTGTGGGTAAGACTATAAACAGAAGCTTTTTTTTTAGGCATACTTTCTATCCCAATTTAGGGAGATTGGGGACCTAATGTAGTACTACAAGGTGGACATATTTTACATCTTTTGGGAGCAGAAAAATCAGGAAAATGCATTGCCAACTTTTAGCAGTGTGATCTGGGAACACTTTAAGGGCTGTAAAATGGGCTTGGGGTTACAGCCATCAGTTGATGCAGGGGAAGTGTTGCAGATCTGAAACTGAATTGTGCCCAATCAAGTTACCTCCTAATTTCATTCATCTTCTTTTCTAGTCAACAGGTGAGAGAGGAGAATTAAGCTGTGGCTGGGCATTTCTAAAACTTTTTGATTCAAGTGGACTTCCAATTTCTTCCAAGTAAGTTTTCTCTGTGAAGAGTGGAAAAAGGTGGAGCCATAATAAGAAGACACTTCAATTGGTACATGTTGTTGGATTTCCTTTTTGTAGTCCTGTGCCAGATGTGAAAAAATATTGCATTAGTTAACCCAGAAATTCCAGTAATCAGAACTGCAAATTTAAGAAATATAAGTCACATGTTTATTGCTCATAGATTGGAGGACTGACTTGTGCTTTATTTAGGTGTCCTGAAGTCTCCTAACTAATACTGTATGGTACAAAATGGAGAGGCATTTGCCCAAGAATGAGGAAGATATTCAATAGTTTCCTGGTATTACTCTCTGAAATATTTGCAGACATGCATCTTTCCCTTACAGAGATCAATGTAGCAAATGCAATTTACGAGCAGCAAAAACCTTGATCTGAAAGTTCCGTGGCCGTGGTGCTATAGACATTATGGTAGGACTGAGAACTATATAACCCCTTCATATGTGGATGGGTCCTGATTTGAAATTAGATTTCCATTATATATTTTTTTGTTACAGAAGGCAGATAGGTGCAGGGGGATATGCTAAGATTTGAACCTGGCTAAAAGGAGTAGGACATGGAAGAGTTTTGTAGAAACTGAACAAAACTTTCAAATAGAGGTACAGGTAGTCCTTGCTTAATTACCATTCTTTCAGCGACTGTTCAAAATTATGACGGCACTGAATAAATGGTAGTTATGACCGGTTCTCGAAGTTACGGTCATTGCATTGCCCCTGCAGTCATCTGATAAAAATTCAGGCATTTGGCAGCCTGCCCATATTTACAACTGCAGCGTGTGCTTTAGCTCCCCCTACTTGGCTATCTCCCCCCAATCTCTGCCCTTTTGGCTGCCCTGCACCCTGCTGCCCCCAGCTGACCTTTGCCATCTTCTTCCTCCTGCTGCTGACAAGGCATGCCTTGCTGAGGCAGCTTCTGGCCCTTTGCAAGGCCTTGCAAAAGATGTCATAAAGGGCAAGCAGCTGCCTCAGCTTGACAGCTTTTTCTAAAAGAATCTTTTACCTTTAATGGAAAAAAAATCCAGTATTTTAAATTGAATCTAACAGCTTAATTGTACTTCAAAATCAAAATATCAGCTGTTTTTATCTATTTTTTACCTATTTCTTTAATTTAAATTAAACTTTAAACAAGCATGTTTATTTAAATGCCTCATTAGGTTCAATAGATCTTACTGCTAAGTAATTATGCAACTTGAAATATAAAATAATTAATCTACAGAAGCAAATAGTTTACAAGTTTTTATTCCCAGCATTTCTTTATTATTACAATCACAGAAAACAAGGAATGAAAGGGTCTTTGGAGATCATCTAATCCAATCCTTGCCCGGTATGGGAATCCACTACTATAGCATTTTTGACAGATGGCCACCCAGTCTCAGTTTAAACACCTCCAGCAAGGAAAAGTCCACCACCTCCCAAGGCAGTCTGATTCATTGTTCAAGAGCTCTTATCATTAGGATTTTTTTTCCTGATGTTCAACCAAAATTTGCCTCCCTCTAATTTAAGTCTGCCCTATATTCTAGGTTACAACAGCCCTTCAGGCATTTGGAAAGAGTTATCATGTGTCTTCATAGTCTTCTCCAGGCTAAGCATACCCAGCACCTCTGTCTATTCCGTATATGTTTTTCCTTTTCATTTTGATCACTGTCTTTTGGACATGCTCCAGTTTTTCTTAAAATGTGGTACTCAGAACTAGATGCAATATTCTAATCAATGTACAGTGGAGAGGAATAAAGACTTCTCTTGATCTTGACACTGTATTTCTGTTGATGCAGCCTAGAACTGGATTTGCTTTTTTTTTTTTTTTTTTGCAGTTGCACCAGCTTATGTTCAGTTTGTGATTCACCAAGACTCCCAGATCTTTTTCACACATACTGCTGCCCAGTATGGTTCCCTGCATCCTTTGCCCATTGTTTCAGCGTGTCAAAATCCTCCTGAATCTTGATAGTGTCTTCTAAGAAATTTGCTATCCCTGCTATCTGTTATTTGCAGATAAAATTATATCTAACTCCTCATCCAAGTAATTTATAATAGGTTGAATTGTATAGAGTGTGGGATGGAGTTGTGCTGCATGCTATTCATCACTTTTCTTCCACTTTCACACAGGGCATGAATATATGTTAGATTTAATTGTTTCAAGCAGCTCTTTATCCATGTAATAGTATTCTAGCTGAGTTCACATTTTAAGTCTTCTCTAATAAAATCTCATGGGAGACTCTGTCAAATACTTTGTTAAAGAGGCACACTATGTCTACCGAATTTGTCTAGTCAATTAAACTGGTCATTTTGTCAGAGATCAGGTTAGTTTGGTGACTTGTTTTTGTTAAACCCATGCTGGGACATGCCAAGCGGTGCATTCTTTTCAAAATTCTCACGAACTGACTGCTTAATAATCTGTTCCAGAGTTTTGTCTGGTATCACTGTCAAGCTGACCAGTCTAAAATTACACAGGTCCTCTTTTTCCCCATTTTTTAATATGGGAGCAACATTTGCCCTTCTGTAATGCTCTGGCACTATGCCTGACCTCATGATTTCTCACAGAGATGGATTCCAAGATGACTTTTGCAAGCTTCCTCTAGGCTTTCCGATGTACCTGATCTGATCCTGGATACTTAAATACATTTATGATAGCCTGGCAGTCCCCATCTGTCTCTCTGCTCACATAGGTTTGCCATTCTCTTATTTTCTCAGTTGTTCTGCTTTGGTCCATTGGAACATAATTTTCTTTGTGGGTCAAGGCTGAAGCTCTGCCCATCCCCCATCACCTGAAACAGACCTTCCACTTTATCTAAGCAGCAGGATCACTCCTTCCTTTTTCTTCCTCGTACTGTTAATATGGCCAAAAAGCTGTTGTTGATTTAAGCTTCTCTTGCAAGTCTAATCTCCTTTTGTGCTTTAGCATTTCTGTCTATCTTTCTGCAGTTATTAGCTACTTGCTAGTATGCTTCCTTGGTGATTTCACCCATCTTTTATTTCCAACACATGTCTTTTTTAACTCTTAGCTCAATCTAAATCACTGTGCACATCCACAGCAGTTTCTGAAGTTGCCTCCTCCCCCCCCCCCGCTTCTTCTCATTGGAATGGTGTGCAATTGTTCTTCCAAGTATCTTATTTTTGAGAAATTCCCTTTGAACTGAGGATTTCTGATCATAGGGTCTCACATAGTATTTCCCTAAGCTTCTTAAAAATGGGTCTCTTCAAGGCAAGTGTGCCTTGCATTAACTATGCTGACATTTCCTTTTCTGTAATATCTTGAAAGCCAAGATGCTTGAGCACTTCCTGTAATGGTTCCCGGTGCTTTTATCTCTTAGCCAGCTCTTCCTTATGGGTTAAGAACAGATCTAGGACAGCCAGTTCCCTTGTTTCTGTTTCAGCCTTTCGGAAAACGAAGTGATGAAAATCACAGAGGAATTTTGGGAGCCTTGCAGCATTGGCTGAGTTGACTTTCCAGCATATATGAAAGTATCAGCCTTTTATGGTAGACCGGGTCAGGAAATAGACACCACAAGAAATACTAGAATTCTGTTGATATGGGCTATAATAAAAGAATCTTCAAATCTTAAACTTTGGTATAAGAGGGAGAGAAGCATTTCTCCTTCTCTCCCTCTTACACCAAAGAGAGGTAAGGTGGGGCAATCTTGCATTTCTTTCTCATGTCTTCCTGTTTTTCTGGTTTAAGTTCATGTTTTCCTTATAGTTGCCGCTTATAGTCTTCAACACCATCTCCATACTTCTCTACACTAGGGAAGTTGAAGTCTCCCATTATTACTGTGTCTCTCCTGCTTGAAATTTTTATAATCTAGTCCAGGAGAGCATCATCCAGGTCTTTTGTCTGGCATGACGCTGGTACACTCTACTTGACAGGAAATCAGGCCAACAGATTGGTGATTCAATCCATCCTGCTGCCATCTGTCACTTCCTCTTGTTCAGTGCAGAACAGAAATCCTTTCTTGGTAGAGCATAGACAGTAATTTTCTTCAGACACTGCTGCTTATAGCAGCTGCTCTTCATCCAAAGGTCTAGAATCATCATCAATGGGGAATCTCTGGATTCTGTTCTGAAGCTCCACAGAAAAGTTCTTCTTGGCAGGTTTGGTGCTTTGTGTCATGTTCTTCCATTCCCACCCACCTTTTTTCTGTCTCCTGTGTAGTTTCTTGGTAGTGTTGTTCCTGTTCAGGTACTTTCTGTGCCCAAACCAGGAATTCCTCATCTTCCCTTATAAGGTGGAGAATGGACATGTTCACTTCTAGCCCCTTCATCTCTCTTTCAGGAGGACAGTCGGCCTGCATTTACAGCATATATAGCTTTTGTCATCTTCAGGGAGGAAAACAAAAATGACATGCCCCCTGAAGTTTGAGGCCAGTTCCCTCCATCTTCATGTTCCTCAGGTAGAAGGAAATAAAATTGCCTCTCTTTGACCTCATCCACTGAACTCTTACCAAATTCTATTTGCTCTCCCTAGTTACTCAGTAATATTTTGTATATACATGTAATTTTTCTCTGTCAAGAGGTATGAAGATCACTGATAGTATGCATTCCTATCTTTCCTTCCAACAAACTTCATTAAACCAGCTTCACTCAAATTGATCTAGTATTTTTTTACATCCAAAATAAAGAAAGCACACATACACCAAAACTGACTAATGCTCCTTCATTATTTCCTTTTCCCACCCAAATATGATGATGATTTCTGCATTCCATGAACTCAGTCCAAGGAAATTGTCATACCACAGATCTCTGAGCTAGGCTTGGCTATTGCAGCAAAAGACATTCTTTCTAAGGTTTGTGCTAAACATGTGTTGGAGGGTCTGGTTTTAATAATGTCATATGATAGGCATGCAGCCCTTTAACAGGTAGATTAACACCTGAGGGTGTTAATCTTGTTAATCAGGTTTTACTGTTTGAAAGATGTTACAATAATATGGTTTGAAAATATGCCAGATTGAAGTAGACAGTGATTTCTTTTTTTAAAAAAAGTTTTGAATGAGAATTTCCTGTATTATTGTTTTATCCCTAATAACCTCTCCCTAATAATAATAATTTTTATTATTATTTCCTCAAGTCTTGAATAAAAGTTTCATTGGTTTTAGACAAGGGGTTAAAATAGGAACAGTCTGTAATATCAGTTGTTCTAATAAGAGAGGTCTCTCTTAAAGTTTGTGAACATGATTAGTTATTTTTTATAATGTTATTCAGTTTAGACATCTCTGTAAGTTACATTCCTGTGGCATAGGGATTACATTTCCCATTGCTGGGAAAGGAAAATGTGATCCTGCTTCCAGATAGTACATAATAGAAGTTATATATTTTGATTACAGTGCAGTATGTGAAAAAGCCTACATTACAATCTAACATTTTAGATTATTTTATTTTTCTGTGTATTTAGTTAGTATGCTGCTCTGGGCTTCTCTGGGAGAAAGAACAGTATACAGATAAATATAATAATATTATTTGTATGCAACCTTGATAGTTTCTAAGGAAGTGGGATGGTTATTTTCATTTAGAGTCTGAAAATAATGTTTGCCCATGTGGTTCCTTGGCAGAGAACTGAAGTCCTGGCCCAGTATAAGTCCAGAATTCTGCCTGCTGATTCTGGATGCTCAACACCTATGACATCATTCTGTACTTGGAAGCATGCATTTTAATTTTTAAAATGTTGGAATATTACAATTAAAAAAACATAGTCCTGAACTTCCTAGTCTCTTGATAATGGTTAAAGCTATACTCAGTGTTAAATGAGCAGAAGTCTACTCCTACGATGGGACTTTACTTTCCTCACCATTTTATTCTGCAGATGTATCCCAAGTCTGCTCTAGAGGGTTTCCAATTCCCCCCAGAAAATTTGAATGGGGGTAGCTGGAAGAAATTCTGATCCTCCAGCAGATACCATTGGTTAGAATCCTTAATCAGGAAACAATCTTGCCTACACAAAAGGGCTGTACTGAAAAAAAACAACAACCACCGAACAGGAAAAGATTCCAAGGACTCGGTAGAAAGAAAACAAGTATAACTATAAAAAACTATATAAAACTATAAAATACTTGCCTTGCAATACTGGCAGCTTTTTGAGACACAAGCATATAGTGAATTTTCTTTGCTGTAAATCATGTGCTTCCGAAAAGCATTGCTTTGTAAGTGTGTTTTATAATTGATGCAGCTTTTTCTTCCTGTATAGATTTTCTGTAATGAGGAAATATTTGTTTTCTCTCTCTTTCTCTCTTTTTTATCCACCAACTTTAGTAATTTCACTTTTCTTATGCTTCAGGGTAATGTGTGATTATATTAAAAACAAACCTAAAACCAGAATAATTATTATTATACCTATAAAGTGCTTTTTTTGTGAGGAGGAAACTTCCTTCTCTGATTGATTTAATTTAATGCTATTTCCACTGAAAACTTTTTTAAGTGTGCGATAAAAGTGACCAACATTTTTATTTTCTACCTGCTCTCAACTTAAACATCAAATTGTAACTATTGCATGGCCCAAAGTGACTAGTACACAGTGAGGTGAACAACACAAATTTCAGGTTGTGACTTCCCTTAAATCCAGAAGCAGGCATGGAGAGTAATGGAAAACTATTTCACTCCCATTTACCACCGAGTTTAGAGCACTAATGTAACATAACAGGAATTTTTATAGCTGACATAATTCAGTCATCATTATTAGATTGGCATTTATTTATCAAATGCATTCATATTTAATTTATTTTAAATTATTATTTAAAAAAATAATTATTTTTTAAACCTTTTAAACTTAAATATCAATTTACAATATTTACGAAAAAATAGGATGAAATAGGATAAAAATAGATTAATCCACTATTGAGGTGAACCAACTGCCTAGAACAGATTCCCCTGAATTAGGAAGCTAAAAAAAGAAGGGCTTTCTTCTTTTATACTCTATTTATAAATTCAAAGTTACAGCATTCCTTTGTTACAACCAGTCTGATCCTTTTATCTCTAGTTTTTATAATCCAGGGATTACTTCTAGATACTCTGTAAAAAGAGGATGATGGGTTTAGTTATTTCGGCATAGAAAATAAGTAATTTTAAAGGAGTAAATTTAGCACCAGAGAGTTTTGCCTTAAATGTCACTCATAAATGCACCTAGGGTGTATCTATGACATCAGAGACATCTTTCAAGATTCACCTGGTGATTCAGGGCATGAACTAGAGAACTGTGCAGGTATTGCATGCCAGATAGGGATTTTAGTGTAAAAATTATTTTTGAAATGCAAAAGTAGCTTAAATCTACCTTTTTGAGCTCAGTGTAAATGTGACAGAGGATTGTCTTTAAAAATAAAATATTCTACAGGTATAGCCTTTCCTAAACAGGGAAGACTACGAGATATAGAGGCATGGGAGATCCTTGAAAAACAGGTTTAGGTAGCTTTTGTGAGTGAGAGCACTACCCAGTTTTTAGGAATTTCCTTTTTCTCTCATAGGGGCTCTGGGCTGCCAAGCGAAGGAGGTGACAGGGATATTGTTTAGTTCAGTGTTGAATACAGCGTATCAAGAGAAAAATATTATATGGATACATAAATGAGATTTTTAAAAATCTTTGACATGGTTAGAGAAATTACATTTTATGGAATCTTCAAGTAGATCCCAACATTATCCACTAAGTCTTCCTGAAATTTCCCCCCTCTAATTTCAATCCTGTGTTAATTCAGAAGAAGTGTAAGTTACAGAAGAATTATTTAATATTTCCCCATGTTATGTATCCTTGTATATATGTTTTGCAGAACATATGAGCTGCTTTTGAATGGTGGGACTCCATATGAAAAAAGGGTAGAAGTAGACCCATCGATTTCAAGGAGAGGTATAATTTATTTTATATCAAAATTAAAAAAAAACAAATGAAAGGCCTCAATTTACACAGTCAGAAATTCTATTGAGTTTTATTATTAGCTTTGGAAACATTTAATGTGGCAGTAAGCACGAAATAAGTGAATTGGAAGCAAAACCCTAAGTTCTCTGCCAGTTATATATAGCTTAACAACAAGAAACTTTTGTGATAGCAAAGAAAATTATTATTCAAATAAATGAAACCATTTGTAAAGAGTAGATGAAAATACAGTTATTGCTGAATTACCGTCAAGCAGTGAAAACCATCAGGAAAAGAATGATTTAAAGTTCTTTCTTAAAAGAAGAGTACAGCAGTATGATGTGTTTGTGAGGGTAAAGTATGTTGTCTATAAAGATAAAAGGGGCTGAAACACATGACTAGAATAATTAGAAACAAAACAGCCTGAGGATAATGGAAATCAGAATAAAATATATTACTAGGTTGAGAAATTACTGAAAATAGAAAAAAACAATTTACTTGGACACATTTGAAAGTGCTCTGTTGATGATTCTGCTATCAATATGTTTGATTGTATGTCTTTTTTCTTTTACTAAAGCCAACAGCAATGTTTTTCATCAGATGATATCACTGAGGAAGCAGCCACAACTTCTAGTGAAACTGAGGTCTATAAGTACACAATCAAAAGGCATATTGAAGTAAGTGACCACTATTGTATTGGGGCTTACATTTCCATGTTGAAATAGATATCCACTGTATATAATGCTTATAATATCACACTTCAGGATCAGTTTTGAGATTTTTCCAGATTGTGTTGAAAGTCTCATAAGTCCAAACTTGAAATAAAGCTCTGTAATGAACTTTATTATTATATATAAAGTACTGAATGCTTTTTGTTATCAAATGTCAACTGTCTCAATGTTACTAACTGGTAGGACTGTACAAAAACAATTTAAAAAATATTCAAAAGTGATTCAGACCTCACGAGTGCAGTACCTCTCTCCTCATCATTAAAATAGCCTGTTTTTTTCCCAACTTCTGCATAACACTGAAAAATGGTGCTGTTATTTTAAGAGTTGCATTAAGTTTTATGACTGGATTCCTTAAAGCAGCATCAACTATTCATGTTCCTTTAATGAATAACAGAAAAGTGCTATGCTTGCACTAAGTCTAAAATACTTCCTCCAAATTTGTTCCAAAGTGTGTACAGACCTAGTAAATGGTACCATCAAATAATAGTGGAAAAAGAATGAAGGATCCCAAATTGTGAACCAAAAGAAAAAATAGAGGAATCTTCCACGATAAATGTAGACCAAATTAGTATAAAGCAGAAAAGACAGCAGTGTTTAATTAATCAGTTTGATTTAACAATTCAAAACATTTTAATCAAAGTGTCCTTAGTGAATAAGTTTGCATATTTTAAACATTTTTAAGCAAACGTGCAAGAACAAAATGCTCTTCTTAGATTATGTGATATGGAAATCTAATTCCTTTTAATAAGCAATATTTGCCTTATGAGCATGAGGTTTGATGACATTTAGTTTTGCTCATGCACAAGAAAATAAACATCTGGAAGGAAAAGTTAATGTTACCTACCCTATTGGGAGCAAGTGCTTATATCTTTCAAAAGGTAGTCTAGAACAGAACATTCTTATAGTTGGATCTTGACTGATAGAACTGTTTTGGAATTGCCTGAATTAAAAGGGTTTTATTTGTCTTTATTCTTTCTGTATTTAATGCCAAAATTGCTAAATGACAGCCAAAGCAATAATTCAGAACTAGTCAGAAAAAAGTTTATATTAAGATGTGCTAGAATGTCACTTGAGATTACTCCTGAAATAGAGAAAAGAAACATATTTTCTTTTCATCTTTTAACCAGCCTATTGCCAGAAGTATTAATTGGCAGCATGTGCTATATGCATCTCATACTGTTTTATCGTCAGATCCTTGGTGATGTACTCCTCAAAGACAGACCAAATATGCAACATGCAGGTAAGAATTGCAGCTTTGAAGAGTAGAAAATACAGCATGCACTTTCGATACTTGGTCTTGGATTGGAGATGCTTCCAAATTAAAGAGAAGTTGTCCCAGTAATACTTCATGTAGTCTCATAAAACATGTTTCTTTTGCTTTCAGTTGGTTAGGGTTCTCTGACAATTATTTTAATGTTATAACATAAAAATGTTACTGTAACAGCATTCCTCAGCTAGGTATTTACAAAATATATTGTGACTTGGAGTTTACTGGAAAATGTGTTCGGTTTTATGCACAATACAGGTTGGGGCTTGGAGCTTTGGCTGGATTGCTTTGGGTGGGTCTTGGCCTGGCTGAACTGAAACCCAGAACTTTTAGGTTGTTCTGGGTTTCCTTTGAGAAATATCTGGAGGGGTCTTGCGTGAGTGTTGTGCCTCATTTCTCTTTCCACTTTTTCCTCTGCATGTCCTGCGCAACAGCTCACCTGCTGATCTGCCAGTGCCTTGCCACTCTGCTTGAATTCAAGCACAATACACCTGATTGGCCCGTCCATCCCATCTTAGTCTTCTCAGCATCTTTGTTCCCTGCAGCTGCTACCAGTGGCATTGCATTTTCCCCACTGTCTCCCACCCCAGAACTCATTTTTTCTGGAACACGAATGTTTTGAGTCTGTGCTGAAACCAATATGCATTCCAAGTCCATGCCTGGACCAAATACAGATCTTTCAGTCTGGATATAGGCCACCTACCAATAGAAGAGAATATGTGTAGCTCAGGGTTGAACTGTGGAGTCCTTGGGGTTCTCTGACCTTGGTTTTTTTCTTGCAAATGTTTTGTTACCTGGCTAGGTAACATCTTCAGTGCTAGAATGGAGTGGAGTTTGCTCTCTGTTTATATACAGTGGTTTGCTCTGCCTGTGTTGTTCCCCCCTGTCCCCCCCTGCCCCCAGTGCCTTGATTAGGGTATTGTTTACTGCTTGATTGTATGTCTGTTGCTAATCTTGGTGTTAATCTCTGTTTATCTGGGTGATGATTGCTGGTGAGATGTTCTGGTCT